TGCATAGAGCTCTAGAACTTTTTAAGAGAGTATCAGAACTGCAAAAAAATGTCACATATTTGAATATGGTGTGCCAAGACGTAGCACACCATATTTCAAAATGTGACATTTTTTTTAAAGTTTTAATACTCTCTTGAAAAGTTCTAGAGCTCTTTGCAACAATTTTAAATAGTTCCGGTCATTAAATACAAAAATATAGACTTTTAAAAAAAGGTATGCTTGAAATTGTCTATTTTCGAAATTTACGTCAGATGTGCTTATTTTGTTCTACATCGACTCCTGGGTGACAATGTGTGTTTGTCTCACTCCAGTCTCTCAGCAGCACGCCTAGAATCTGGATTAATAATCCATATAATTTAAATAATTTAGATTATTCAAACAATCCAGATAATTTAGGTAATTCATATTATCTGGATTATCCGGATTATCTGGATTATCTGAATTATCTGGATTATCTGTATTATCTGAATTATCTGCATTATCTGCATTATCTGCATTATCTGAATTATCTGCATTATCTGAATTATTTGAATTATCTGAATTATCTAAATTTGGTTTATTTGGATTATCTGGATTATCTCAGTTATCTGAATTATATCAATTATCTGGATTATCTCAATTATCTTTCTCTCTCTTTCTCTCTCTGTTTTGTTCTCTCCTTCTCCCTTATTTATATTTATTTTTAATTTATTTCTCTATTTATTATTTATATTTCGACGTCTATGCACAGTCTACTTTATTTACTAGAACAATACAGATGAATATATTTAACGGGTGTATATCAGTTGGACACGGGGCAATTGGACACAGTCCAATCACAAGTCGCTGTTCCAAGGGACCCTATAAATGTCTCTAATGACACGGTGCTGTGATTGACTATGTCCAAATGCACCGTGTCCAAGTGCACCGCTCCCTATTTAACTAATAAAAACAGTAAAAAATATTAAATAAAGTAAGTAGTGTTACATCAAACGCGCGAACTGTCACTCGATTCCACCGCGATGACTGGTACAAGTCGGTGAATCGTTAATGGTAAGACTTTCATCATCCTGCCATCTATTGCAGAAACATAGTCAACGGACATTTCTGTGGCGTGGGAAGGACGTTTCTTACGCGAAATTTCACGATTTCGAGCTTTGACCTAAAATAATTTAGCTTCTGGAGCACGTAGAGCAAAAGTAAAGACAGTTTTATTGAGAAACGTAAACTTAAGGAATCGATTAAGTCCATCCAGAACTTCATCAATTCAGCCGTTATATCCGAAACGAGAATTTAGCCTACATTCAACTAAAGTCGTCGCGTTAATATATACGGTAGGCCGCGTTGCTTCGCGCTTGCACTTGGCTTCGCGACACTACCGTATAGCCCTAAAAGCCGATTCGAGACGAGAGAAGGACACTCTCACGAGCGCGGGGAAAACGAAAAGTCGATTGAGAGAGTCGTCAGAAATCGATTAAGAGTCGGAAGAGTCGTTAGAGAATAGTCGGTATTTCGGTATGAAGTCGTAGCATAAGTCGCGAGAAACGCTTTATATATTTGTATATCAGAACAAACGCTTGATGATTTGTCCAGAGACATTGGAATTATCTTCTTATTAATATTCCCAGAAGGTCCTTAGACCGGTAGTTCGAATCGTTGAAGGTCGTCGGGTCGGTTAGGGATATTTACAACGAAGAGAGGAAATTGGGTAGAAATTTAATAGAGAGAATTAGTTCTAGTTAAACCGAAGGAATTTATCTTTCAATGTAACCAATAAACTAGTTTTGTGTAACACAGTGTAACGTAGCTGGAAAGCATCCAAGCAGTGGTCTGTTCTTTTCAGCTGCACTGGCTTCACTGTTGAACTGGTGCAATAAGTTAAAGTGAGATAAGTATACTTCCGGTTTGGACCCAAATATGGCGAATCTAGTATCTACAGGCGATGCTGTCCGATCTCTTATTAAAGGATCTGTATTGCTCACAAAATGGCAGGGCCAACATAAGTTAGAGTGAGAAAAAATATGTTCGTCTCACTCTACTTATTGCACTAGTGCAGCAGTGCAGCGAAAAAGTACAGATCACGCACTTCTTACGAGCTCACGTATTGGTGGCCGCCAGTTTGTCCAGCCTCTTTTGAAGGGTCTCTATCCCTCATGTGTTGAAAAAAAAACGTAAAGTGCCTAATGATACAATAATGTATGAATTTTACTTTTATTGGTCAAATATACATGTTCTTATTGCTATATGCAGCAGTACAAACTCATATTAAGCTCAATTGATTTTGGTTATTCTCAAATATATTCCACCCCTTGGTGATAACAGAAACGCTTTAGGATCATTTATGTAAGGAATTTGCGTTTTATCGCAAATGTCAACAATATAGTTTCGCAATATCTTTATGAGTCCAACTTTGGTCTGGTAAATAGCAAAACGAGCACCTGAAAATAATAAACAGACATTGAGCAAACCATCGCTTTACTTTTGCATTAGAGAAGAAACATTTCAATGATCAAAATTTTATTCCTTTACGAAAAAGATACGAAAAAACTCTCAATTTTGGGTGTTAAGACTCAAATTTAGGTGTTTATCCCCAGTTTTTGGGTGTTTACATCCAACATTGAGGGTTTCTTCGTATTTTTTTCGTAAGGGTTATACCGATACAATTCCTTGGGCCATCGCCGAAAGGAAGATAAAACATCGCATTCCTAGTTTGCATAATTTCCTCGTTAAATCTATCTGGATCAAAAAAGTCAGGATCCGGATAAATATCTGGATCTCGTTGAATCGCATAAACTGGTATCCATATAGTTTGGCCTTTCGGTATATTAATTTTGGTACCGTCAAAAGTGTAGTTTGATGTCGATTTCCTCATCAAAAACGTCGCTGGCGGGTATTTTCGTAATGTTTCTTCATGTATTGATAAAGATCAATAATGAGTCATAAAGATACCTTTGTATAATATATGCAACTAAACTAGTATGTTTTAAATTCTCAAGACAGATGTTTAGAAACAACAGTATATTTACCGCGCTTCTTCGATCTTCTTGAAAGACGTACCTTTGAAAACTTTATCCAAGTAGTCCATCTCTTTGATATTATCATATGTTAAAGTGTCGCCATTTTTTGTGTACATGAGGTTAATTTCTTCTCGTAATCTGTCCTGTATTTTATGATTCTGCGCTAACTCATAAAGTGCATGACTCATGGTAGTCGATGAAGTTTCGAAACCAGCAATAAAAAATACAAATGCTTGAGAAGCGATTATACTGTCGGTCAATTCTGAAATGTGCCATCTTTCTTACACGAATTCGCATCTTGTCATGTTAATTTAACTTTTAATAAGTAATATAATAAAGTGAGAATCATTTACGCGCGCGCGCGCGTCATACTATGTAGTTGGAATATATCACACTCAGCGAACATAGAATGTAACTGTTGCATAATACAGAAGTAGGACATAATATAACTGCTGTTATATGTTATTAATATTGAGGTTACATAATTTTCTCCTACAACTGCGATATAACTGTTTAAAACTGTCGCATTGTTCTATTATTTACTGGTTATAACACAGAATAACACAATATAACTTAAATATAACATATTACATACAAAAATACAAGTAGTGTTCGCATTACGTTTGTTATGGAACATTTTTATATGTCGCAGATGTCGGATTGTCCCCTAAATAGTGTCTATTTCTCGTACGTAAAATATCATACATTAACGTATACATATAAAGACAGTGATCACGTTTTGGCAAACTTTGTACCATGTCCACTATTATATAAAGCCAACGGCACACGGTGCTTGTTTTCGTGCTGGATTTCTTGCTGGATGGAAATATTCCATTTTGATTTCAATTGATCTTCAGAAATGCACCAATCAGAAGAGTATTTCCATCCAGCAAGCAAACCAGCATGGAAATAAGCATCGTGTGCCGCTGGCTTAATGAAGTAGCGTACTGTTTGATTAATGATAATTGATCAGTAACCATTGCTCCCAGCAAAATATCATTCATAGTGATAAAAGTTTAATGAACGATTTGTCTATTATTACGCCTATTAGAAACCATTTTCGATATAAAATAATTACTATGCTTTTGGAAAAATATTTTTACAAATTATCTGATATTTGATTGACAAACGTGCATACAATTATACACACCTCTTGTTGCAGAGAAATGAATAATTTATATTCCAGTTGTATAACATCTCCGCCATCACGACATATAGAACTGTTATATGTATAACTTTTTGATAACATCCCACATAGCATGCGATATTACTGTGACACTATGTAATATTACGTGCTATGTGGATGTTATACTTACAATTTATATTTTTACTACACAATTTCGTTTGAGTGCGAGAAATTACAACTAACGTGAATATTTTAATCCACGTTACATTTCGTAACATTACGACGATGCAACAGTTATATTATTATATTTGCGAAACATAAATAATTGATATATTTACCAATGTCGATTTTGTCCGGATACCTTTTTAATTCACGTAGAGTATCAACAAAGTCGTGTCGAACGATATTATTCTTTTCTCTATAATCGATATTCTCCATAAGAATACGTGTAAAGAATTTGGTGACCCTGGTTCGTGGTAGGATGTAACCGAGGATAACGTAGAGCCATGGCGCAGCTTCTCTGATTCTAAATCGTATCACATTATACCATTTACGAGCAAATACCTCCCTTCCCATTGTGCGAAATTCACTGTCTATGTCCGACAGAGAATTTGTTTCGATACCAAAGGCACAGCTACCGATAACATCAGTTGTGTACTTGGCTGTCAGCTCACGGCACTCTATGTGCTCGTTTCTGCTCGCCAATTTTTCCACATATTGTTCCAAGTGTTCAGAGCACTCTAATATCAGAGGAAACATTTCCTTTAGTTTACCAGATGTAAAAACAGGTGACAGCTTTGTCCTTAATGGTCTCCACCTTTTTGCTTCCAAAGCAACTAAATGTTGCGATAGCGGTTCAGTCTGAAACAAATTCTTCGCTTTAAAGTCAATCGACAAAGGAAAGAAGAAAAGAATATATTTTGAAAGATGTTCTAATGGCATATGAAAAATATTGCAAAATGCTAGAAAAATTAAAAGCAACTGTACCTTCTCATAAATTGGTAATCCTCTGTTAGCAAAGTTGGAGAAATCTTTAATAAGAATGTCCTTGATGAAATTTGGATCTTTTACAACAAGGATGGGAGTCCTTCTAGCAAATACACCAATCAAAGATTCATCCTTGTACCTCTTATATATTTCCAATAAATAATCGCTCATAGCTTTTCTAGCGAGCATAACATCTTTGATATTACCAAATAGTGGTATGGGTTGTGGACCACGAATGCCACGTGACTTCCAAAAGTCAAAAGTTGATGTAAAGTAATAATAAAGAGTAAAAACTAAGGCAACAATGCCACATAGTACTTCCAGAGGTCCCATAGTCTTGCACTGGTCCTTCACTTTATTGCTTATTAATCAAGGATAATCTTTACTAAAAGTATAATAAAACAACAAAATAGAGAAAATAGACTTTCAATTACTCTATATAAAGGTATCTAGTGGGGCAATCACGAATCGTATGTGCGGAAATAGAAGACTTTTAGTAAGCTATATATAAGTACTTTTTGCGATATAATAGTAATTTCAGCTTGATTTTACCTTCAGCTGCTTGTTTTTCTTTTCAAAGTATTGTTACAACTCACACACTGATTTTTTAAATACGGTTTGTATAAAGCTCGACAACGAGCAAAATCGCAACAGAGAAGCGTATATGAAAATTTGCACTATTCCATATCCGTTTATATTATAGCTTCGGCGATATCGGTAACGAGAACATTACTGATGGTCCCGATCCGCGCTGGTTTTAATTATACGAATGTGTTGAATATGAAAAAAATCCATTGTAATGATTTGTCCGAGTCACGATGAGACGCGAGAACGATATCTCGTAGGATTTAATCTCTGCACACATTATCCAATCGCATATCACGCGTAATGCAAACATCAAATCTGTTTTTTAAAAACTCGTACATTAGTCTGACTAGTTAGAGTGAAATAAGTACATTTTCTTTCACTCTAACTTACTGCACTAACGTGCATTGATTCAAAAGTTCTTCGAAAACGAACAGACCTTGTGAGAATCATAGCAAAGAAAAAACAAACAATGATTCAAACTAGTATGAATCTGCATAATACATAGGGTGTTTACGATAAGTTGTCGAATTAAAAATCCGACTGAACAGTGGTACTCAATCGACCCATTTCAAAAAATTCCCTAGCTTAATCAGATTTTAGTAAAAGCTGTCTCAGCAGTAATCGGATTAGCTTCATAGCAACGTGAGGTGATACTTTGTCCTCAAGAGAAATAAAAAGATAAAAGTCGGTAGGTACGTAATTATTATTCTAATGATTAGCGCGTATCATTTTCCTTATATATCAATGTATGAATAAATGATCTGTTACACTTTTACTGATATTAAATTAATGAAAAGAAGTATTATCTGTCAAATTAACATAGATATATATATATATATATATATATATATATATATATATA